AAAAGGTCACATCAGATGTATTCTCTTCATCTATTTCTGAATAAAGGCGCGTTTTGCCAGAGCCACAGATTCCCAAACAAAGCTCTCTTTGGTGTCTCTGGGTTCTCCGCTCAGAGGTCCATGTGGAGAGCAGCCAGCCTTCAAAGTGAGAAAGCCAACCATCCGCCCAGAACTAAAACCTTAGCAGCAACTCAAAGCAATTTTCTGGCTATTTGTTGATTTAATCCCTAGTTTGTGATGCTTGGGCACGGCGGTGTGACTGCATTGGTGTGGATGGGGATGTGTGACAGTGTGTTAGAGTGAGACGGATGGCGGTGGGGGTGCGGGGTCCCCTGAGGGTCCCGATCCTCAGCACTCCCATCAGAGAGCCACATTAGCACTTTCACAGTCTACCCATCATGGAGGCGCTCATCCCTGCCTGTCTAATCAGACGGGTGGGGGGGTGAGCTGAGCTCATCTGTCAGCTTATCACACGACAGGCCGGCAGCATCTCTTCCTGGAATATAACCTGTGCACCATCAGCCGCCATGTTCCTGCACACATGGCGATGCTGAGACGTCCTGTGTTCTACCACATCAGTACGACTAAGTCAGGTGTAGCAGAGAAAATAAAACCCATTCATACATTTCTCACGACAGGGTTGGAATATGCAACATATGCTTATTCAGACATTTTCATGCTGGCTCCTAAAGGCTGCTATTAACCTTTCAAGCTGCCAACGCACACATTGGCTTTGTTTGAGGTAGGAAATGATTGGTGTCAGCATCTCTGGCATTAGGCTAAGAAATATATTATATAAACTCACATTTACCCTGCATGGAATCTATGCTCATTAATGTCTTCGCCATTTTGGTTCTACAAGACATACATCTTCAGCATATAAATACCTAGAAACAGGATAATTAGATAAATAAAATGCATCATATCACTAAATATTAGGCGTATCAGACCTAGACTGGCGTGAACCGAGAACATACTTTCAACCAACCTGTGTATTTCATTTAACGCTTCTACACACAAAAACAGATGGTTTGTCTTGAATTAAATGTATTATTTCAACACATTTTACACAACTATATTAGGTTAGTTGAAAGCAATACTATTAAGTTAAAATACAAAATATAGGGTTACACTTTTTATTATTGCTTTTAACTAACCTAATACAGTTATGTTAAATGTGTTGACATAAGACATTTGATTAAACATTTCAGTTTTTTCAGTGTAATACAGTAGCTTAAAATTAAATACACAGGTTGGTTGAAAGTAAGTTCTCCATCAAGTCACCGTCGCAGTTTTTTCCGTGTGTGTATTTGATGTAACACTTATATTATATATATATAACAGCAACAGAATGAGCAGGTTTAAGTCAATGCCAAAACCTCAGCGTATTTATCTAGCAGACCTGTTAAAAGAGTCAAGTCTCCGAAGCGTTTTGGTTCAAGCAAAAAGAATCACGTTACAGAAATAAAAAGAAAGCGGCCCTCAGGAATGCTGATCTGACTGTTTGCAGGTAGCGGGGGAGTCTGTGCTCACAGGAAGCCCACAGATGGTCTAACCATACACCGCAATCAATCTGTCAGCCCGGGCCGCAGAGAAAAGAGGAGGCGCCCCCCCCGTGCAGGTGTTGCCGGGCTGTTTGTGGCAACCTTTCTCAACGTGGTCAAAAACAGAAAGCTTCTAATCATCCAGGTCATGTGGGCGGCCCCGCATGACCTGCTGCTCTTGGTCCTTGAAGAATTGTGAGAAGAATGCCCCAATGTCATCTGCTAAGTGTGTGTCTCCTCCTCTGAGAGCAGAAAGGATAAAATGGGTCAGAAGCAGCATCAGGATTGGAAGTGGTCTTTTGTTAGGGGCAACAGAAGCAGAATCATTGCTTTTCAGTGGGAAACTGTGATATTTCAGTACAGCTATGGCCCCGAGTGTGTGTGTGTGTGTGTGTGTCAACCAGGGCCTGTTTGGATCAGGTGCCCTACTGCAAACCAGTTTTCATGGCCCTGAAAACTGATACTCAGGCACCAACAATCTGCTCGACCATTATATAATCCTTTATTTACGCCCCCTAAGCACCCCCAAGAAATGTATGTGTCTTTTTTTTTGGATGTGTGAAATTCATAATTTGATAAAGGATTTATTCGAAAATAATATGCTACAGTACAAGTAGCCTACTTCTGGGTCTCTGTGTTTCATTCAAGCTCTGCTCTGCTCTGTGTGTGTGTGTGGCACGAGCCATTTAGCTTTTTCAACAACAAGGTGGAGGGAGAACTCTCTCCTGTCAGACTGGGAGTCTCAGATAACCTCAGCTCAGGTGAAGTAAAGGACTCTCAGTGTTTAGATAGTTAACTTTGGTCTAGTTATCTCAGTGGGTCTCAAAACGGTTTGGTCACGATTGATGTAAATAAGTATTTATGAGGCACACGTTTATATGATCATTATAGGTATACAAAAATATGAGTGATTTGTAAAATATACATAAAGAAATTGAAAATCTGTTTACAGTTCTGGTTCATATGGGTGTTGAGAGGTATCCATAGATCTCTTAATGTTGCTCTCAAAGTGCAGCAGATTCATGCAATTAATTTCAATTTCATATTTTAAAAGCACTGTAGGGTGTCAATTTATAATCTCACCTGCACACAATGCAACATTATTAAAAAAAAACGATATAAAAGGAAGACACAAGCCAATTTTCAAAGTTTGCAGTTAACATCGAACTGTATTTGTGTAAAAACAACACATAAAGCATTGGCTTACATTAACAGTACGTCCATTCAGTCCTTAACAGCACAGGGCACACAATATGACAATGTGGCACTATGTATGTTTTTCCATCCATCTCATTAGAAAACTGTTTGTCATAGGGTCTAACGCAAATCATCAATAGAAATAACAGAAAATGAATCAATTGTCTCCTCGATACAGTATGAATTATAGTGTTCATCAAAAATATAGTGTGTCCACTTAGCAAATCAAAATGAAAGCTTGATCTTCATTTAGAATGATATTATTGATTTTTCCAAAAACAGGAGTTTCTTTATCAGTTCTTATCAAAACAAACATTCCAATTTGATAATCAGTTCCATAGTTCTTTACCCAGTTAGTAGTTGACACGTCGCAGTATGCATTCACATTAAATGCAGCACTTAAAGCCTCACCACCCTCCAAGCTGTCAATCATTTCCTTCCTGACTGGACCAAACTCGAATCTCTGAAAATTAAAATTCTCCCAGTGATAAGCCAACTGTCTTTGGTGTTGTTTTACTAAGCTTTTTGTAATGTTTTTGAAATTATTCACTGATCTTTTAAAAAAATTCTGTTTGGCCTCAAATCTCATACATGGAGGAGTGGACCTATTTTCCGAATACACCTTGGGTAATGTATCATAAAATGATGCTTTGGAATAAGTCTTCTGTGAGGAAACAAAGATTTGAACAGCTTGTGGTGATCAATGATTAAATGCTTCAAATAATATGTCATACCATTTGTAATAATTGGTGAAAAAACAATATTCACAATCTGAATCAAGAGGAGGAGCAGATTCCAACAATTGTTGTTTCATTCAACAACATCACCAAGAATAAGGGGAGCATTTCGCAAGAGACACCATGACTGAATTGCATTCAATCCAAGATTTTTGCTCTCATCCATTTTTAAACCACTTGGCCTGTTCTGTCTCTCAGTATATCCATAGTTGAAACTTTGGATCCTCATTGACAGTGTTTCCAGAGATAGACACTTCTTATTGACAAGGTACTGAAATACAAGTTTCAGTTCGTACTGCACTACACCTTCAAGCAAATCGTGCATGATGTCCACCGCGTAGTTATCAGAGGTGTGGAAAAATGTTAGTGTATTGAGTAAGCATGTCTTCTTGACACCAAATGTTGACCCTAAAACAGGATTTTCCTGTAGAGCTGCACAATTTTCTGCATGGATTTCTTTAGTACGAAAAACCATACCAGGGTCATCTTCAGTGAAGACGGACTGTAAATCTTCTTTAGTAGTTAAACAAAATCTACAACAGTATGTTGCACTGAAACACTCAACAAAACCAAACAGCCCGTGTAAACCCAGATGATCACCTGTTACTTGAATAACAGATCCTAGTAATGGTGAGTCAGAGAAAGGCACCTCTATCCCTTGCATTTCCAGTATTTTATGATCATCAGTGAGAGGCTTTAGTATTGCATCAAATCCATATTTGTTCAGGTCTTGTGCATGAAAAAGTGCCACGACATGAATATTCATCAGCAGAGAATTACATTTTGGGGGTAGGTTCCTCAATATGAAGTAAATACAAACACGTTTGTGTATACCCTTCTTTGAACCTAAGGGATTTGCTGTCTCAAAACGGTCATAGTGTTTAACCTGTAGAGCGTGTTTTTGCTTGGAAAACAAATCATTGCTTTTGAAATATGAACCATCACTTATGTCTTTATAAGTACCTTCTTCTTGTTGTTTTGCCTGCAGGAATAATTCACATATTTCCCTGTTCTTAAATATAAACTTAAGGTTTCCCAACAAGGGTACATACACAAATGTATCTGTTACAGGTATCTGATCGTAAACTCCTGTTGTTCGATCTCTGCGTACATCAAATCTGACCCCAACATACTCAACAGGTTCAACAATCTCCCACTTTTCTTCAAAGAACCTTTGTCGTTTGGATCCTGTATTAAAGGATGTGAAAGGCTTTTCAAGCAGATCAAAACTATTTTCCAACTTTTTACCCAAATCAGTGCCTTGGACCTCTGAACTGCAGTTGAGAACTGCATCTCTTGCTTGTCGATGAATATCATTTACAAGCTCTTCCATGGACCCCACCATTGCTTGGACAGTGCTCTCAGCAACACCAGATGCTTGTAACTGGGCTACAACAGAACCACACATGTTTAACACGTGCTGTTAATCAATAGTAACCTGGGAGGTTACGGAAGTGTCAGTACAAACTGCCTGAGAACTTGAAGATTCATCAGTTTCTCGTTGAGTGTCCACATTGTCCATAGTAATAGTTGAACCAGTGTCCTTGTGCAGACTGAAGAGGTGCTTTTTGAACCCTGAATAAGTACAAAATGATGAAGAACATCCCGGCTGGCCACATTTCAAACGTAATGACTTTCCGGGATACAAACCATGGTGAAATTTCAAATGCTGACGAAGCAATGCAGAACTTTTGTGGTGTCCAGTGATGTATATAACTTCAGATATCAGTGTGCAGAAGCCTTGCTCTGAGTTCTTTGACTCTGGGACTTTCCTTGGCACTTCCAATAACGATGCTAAATACTGTGGTTTGGATGAAAGTGTAGAAGCTGTTGAGGGATTCATGGTAGTTGACACTGAAGATGAAGTGAGCTTTGAAGAGTTCATCGAAGGCTGCCATGGATGTCTGCCCCTTGCAAGGGATGGCCTTGTGGTCAACGATGACGTAGAACTGTTGAATGTTGTTCTTCTGTTCACCAACACACAGCAGGAAGGGCTGCCCTGGTTCCAAACTCGAAAGGAAGGTCTCAACACTGGCTCCAATCTGCAAAAACATAGAGACAGAGAAGTTTTAATGGCAGACTAAGCTACTTAAAACAAAATTGTCCCAACTCAAGGAGTGTGAGTGATATAACAACTGCATAAAAAAACTAAAATAATGCCTACCTTAAGATATCTCACAACATGGCTGACAGCTTGATACGAGCCAATTTTAGCACTCTTCTTATGGCCTTTTGAGGTTGGGGGGAGTAGATGAACCAAGAGTAGAATGCTTGACAGGTCACTGTCCCATCCTAGGGGCAAAAAAGATGCAAATATAACAGTCAGTCGTTTAAAGCTGAAAATAGTCTTAAATCAAGGTTATGCAACCGATAACATTGAAAGGTCTCAAGATTTTCAGTAAACAAAATCTGCAAGAGAAAATACTTGCCTGACTCATTTGAGTTTTGTTGTGCAGACAAGAGGTCATCAACATGAACATTAGAGTGTAGGTTCTTGCAGTCTGCCAAGATCCTAGGTTTGAAGAAAGTGGGCCATCTCGCCAACATTTTTCCAGAAATCTCTTCTCCAAAAATCATTGTGAAATCTTGGTCAACCTACAGGAGAAACACAATGAGTCATGGCAACCGCTCAGACCATCCAAATCATTTACAAATAAGAAACTAAATATGACATGTTATTCTTACCAAGCCAGGGATGTCAAGGAAACGAGGAAACACATCCAGGACTGTTGAAGAGGCTTGCTGGTCCCGAATCATTTGAATCATCTTTGACAACTGATTCGTCAGCTGAATGCTTCATGAAGGATATTGCCTCTCTGCATTCCTCGCCAGTCAGTTGCTCACGAGTCAAGAGAAAATCCCTCTTGCTCTTTGGACCATCTTGATAGGTAGTGCTGGGGTAGCATCTCCAGGACTGAACCGCAGTGTTGCGCTGAACCGTCTTTATCCTCCATGCCAAGTAGCCAGATCCACCATCTGCATCATAGTAGTGTTCCTGTAACATCCAAAAAATAAATCAAAACTGAGAACACAGAAGTGACAGCATTACAGGAAGGTTGTTCAAAAAGTTAAGAATGAACACACTTCCTTTTCACAAATTCTAATACAGGTCATTCATTCATAGACTTACGTATCCATTATTTGAGTATGGATCTCTTAGACATGGAAATAGAGTAATGATGCCAAGAGCACACTTTTCTCGCACATATGTTGGCGGGATCCTCCTTTTAAAAAGAAAAAATATTTTATCTTAAAAGTATAAATGCCTTACATCTTTAGATTGCTTTAACATGTGAGCAGCTGTTTCCAAAATGTACATTACTTAGCACTATCTATGAAAACATGATTAACACCAAAGGGAATATTCAGTCCTTACCCATGAACTTCGATCATGTCAGCCACCAGTAGGTTTACCATCTGTCGTCGTGTACCATCCATCAATGTTTTAGTTGTTGCATACTCTTGCAAGATGTTTTCTCCCCCTAGCTTAGACTGGAGAACATCTCTGGCCATCTAGAACAGGGGTTCCCAAAGTGGGGGTCGCGAGACCCCGAGTGGCAGTCACAAGATGATTCAAAAGAAAAAATAGAAAGAAATAATCAATCTAGCCATCTGTATAATGTATGGATTTTCAAAACAAAATACAGTAAAACTATGGTCGCAGGCCTAAGTTGGCCTGCATGGTCTGCCTACAAAACAAAAATAAAAAAACGTTTATGCAGCTCCAACAACAGTCTCTGACACTGTTATTTTGGGTGTCGCGGGCTGAAAAGTTTGGGAACCCCTGATCTAGAAGATAAAGAATAATAATATGGGAAGTCATTATCTTGGGCATTTCTGCATACAAATCATAGCTTATCTGCACAATATATCCATGTTTAATGATTAATAACTAATTGAGTAAATTGCAAAAGTGTAGGCCCCTGTACCTAACTCTTTTCACTCCACTGTCTCTCTCAAGAACTATTGTTGCATCTGATGAATCAGACACCGCAGAGGATGAAGCATTGGTCATGGAGAATGAGGTGTCAGAAACGTCCGACTCCATCAAAGTGTGCGATAGATTTTGAAGCACAACTGCAAGATAGATAAAAGAATGACATACTGCATAGAAGAAGAAAAAAACATACTTTCAGCCCTCCAAATGATGTTAGAGGGTCATCTCCCAACAGCAAAAACTCAGTATGATCCCTGATTTTTCATTGTAAGTCTGAATCTTACCTGAAGACTGTTCTGTGGACACTTTGACTGTAAGGTTCCCTGCTTGTAAAAGCTCCTCAAAGACATCTGCATCCACCTATGTCCCTGATTCATCAGTCAAGTGCAGCTTACTCTGTAGTGGTAAACCTAACTTTTCTATGACTGAGAGATAATATTCAAATGTACCACCTGACAACCATGGTACGTTTAACTAAAACAAGATTCATTTTTTACACTCAAACAATCAGTGATATGTATTAAAGTTATCCATACCTTTCTGAAGAAATGTACTGTAGCTTTCATAGCCATCTTTAGTCTCAGCCACTTTCACATATTTTACTTTCACCAACATGGTGTGCTATAAGAATACAAATTCATTAGCAAACATATTACAGAAATGTCTAACAGACCTGTTGCTACAAAAATATAAGTATGCATTTAAATGTCGTTGAAATAACCAGTCTTGGAAGACCAGAAGTTGTGTGGTTCATAAAAACATTTTCTTACTCAATATCTTACCCTAAGCCTAACCCTTTTATTTTAAATTGTATAATGTCGGAGTTTTTTTGCTGTCCGCGAGGAAAATAAATGGGGCTCAGAGCCTCAGAATACTGAAATCTGTATTTTTATTAAAAAAATGTCCTAATTTGTTATTATTTGGTGCAGGCACGAAACATACTACCAATAGAAATACATTGCTTCTAAAATCGTTCTGTGTCAGAATACTGAAATCTGTATTTTTTTTTATCTCTTTTTCCTTCAAATTTGTTATTATTTACATTGCTTTTAAAATCGTTCTGTGACACGAAAAAAAAATCGAAAATCGTGTCGATGAACACGAATCAATAGATTATTTTCGTGACTATAAAGGCCCTGACACACCTAGCAGACACCAGAGAACTCGCCGACGCCGACTGTTGCGTCGCCGTGTCCTCCTGCGTCTTGGCCATGTGTCGCACGGGAACACACCGCAAAGACTTCAGTGCATGAGTGGTAATAACTCTCCTTACCAGCAGGCGGCGGTAGTGTGTATTCGTCATTCAAAAGAGGCAACAACCGGAAGACAGAGAAGAAGAACAGACTGCATGATATAAACAAACAACAAATAGCGTGTGCGTTCCATTTCCCTCTCGTCCATCGAAAACATGTTTCGTGCGGCACTGGAGCTATCAGCCATAAGGGGTTAGCGATAAGAAACAATAACAATGTGCCTACATAACTGTCAGTTGCAGCCCTAGTATTAGTATTGGTTATAGTAACAGCTACAACATTAAAATACTTCTAGGCAGATTGAGGAGGATAATGGGAGAATGAACAGAGGGGCAGAAACATCCATCTGAATAATAATAATAACTTTATTTGTATCGCACCTTTCATACAGGGGATTGCAGTTCAAAGTGCTTTACATCAGTAAGAAATAAGATATAAAATCAGTGTAAAATAAGCAGCAAGAGCAAAGCATAAAGTGGGATAAAATAATGCAGATATATATATCTATATATATTTGGGCTGTCAAACGATTAAACATTTTAATCAGATTAATCACAGCTTAAAAATTAATTAATCATGATTAATCACCATTCGAACTATGTCCAAAATATGCCATTTATTTATGTATATTGTTGTGGGAATGGAAAGATAAATGAAAGAAGGCGGATATATCCATTTAACATACAGTAGGCCTATCTATGTTTATTATAACATTTTTCTGCGTGTCAAAATGAAAGACAACCCACACACAGTATCAATCATCAAACCGTGGGGTCTTAATTCATTACGTGTTGATTTCTATCAACGGGGGAGTACTTCAGGAAAGTCGACAGAGGGGGGGGGCGGCGGCGGCGGCTAGTGGAGTGACCACAGAGTGTGAACGATCAGCTGTTTTAGCGCAGTTTTCCAGTGAAGGGGGGGGGGGGAAAGAGTCTCCCTCCGCAGCCGGTTGGCGTAGTTTTGGCACAATTCCGTTGTACAGACCGACGTTAACAGCAGCCCTGTCTGTGCACACGGAGACCGACTCTGTCGTCCGGTGATCTAACCGCCTTCTGGAAAAGCTTCACAAGTACGTCGGTACGCAAATGCGCTTTGTGACACAAGTGACGGTACGCATTTCAGATTACGCACATAACCTGCGTACCAGTTATGTGCACCCAGTGGCGGCGCCAGAGATTTTCTCTAGGGGGTGCTGTGGGGTAGCTTGACGTTTCATAGAGGGTGCTCACACATTTAGGGTTTCCCATTAATGCACCAGCGCTACAGTTGAATTTTCTACTGCAACACTCCCCACGCGCACACACACACACAGTGCACCCGCGACTGTTACAATGAAGGCTCGATAATCAGCTCACGGCATATAGGCAGGGGTAAAGTGCTATTTTTACAAGTGGGGAGCGGACCTCACCTCCTCTAGGGGGGTCCGGGGGTTAGCTCCCCCGGGAAGATTTTTTGTTACATATTTAAGTTAAAAGCATCAATCTGGTGCACTTTGAGAGCAACATTAAGAGATCTATGGATACATCTCAACACCCATACGAAACAGAACTGTCAACAGATTTTCTATTTCTTTATAGATATTTTACAAATCACTCCCCTTTTAAAACAAACCGTTTGAGACCCACTGAGATAACTAGACTAAAGTTAACTATCTAAACACTGAGAGAGTCCTTTACTTCACCTGAGTTGAGGTTACGTGAGACTCTCCGTCTGACAGGAGAGAGTTCTCCCTCCACCTTGTTGTTGAAAAAGCTCCTTATATCCATTAGCTTGGCTAGCTAGCACCAGATGCTAACCACAACGATCTCCGGTAGGTACCCACTGGTGCGCGAGGCGAGATCTCTCGCTCGCTCGCGCACGCACGCACACAAAATGGCTCGTGCCACACACACACACACACACAGAGCAGGGCTTGAATGAAACACAGAGACCCAGAAGTAAGCTACTTGTACTCACGAGGCCTATTATGTGCAGAATCCCTCTCGCTTTCAGTTGGTTTTGATTGAGTGTCCACACGTGGTCGTTTAAGGACTAAAAAACGATCAATTTTTCACTTTGCTGTTAGCAAATCATTTGGCGCTCTAGCTAACAGGAAGTCAATCAAGTGTCACAAAGTAATTTAGCCTATGGGTAGGTCAAAAATCGAATGGGTGCTGACCATTGGCCTAATCATATCACCTGTGTTGGCTTTATGTTTTTGGTCAAAAATGTGTTTGTTTCACATATGCATTGATGTAATCATTAATATTTCTAATTTAATTTAATAAAAATAATAATAATAATTTTCGAAAAAAAAAACAAAACACATATTTCTTGGGGGTGCTTAGGGGGTGCTTTGTCAATCCTGGGGGGTGCTTCAGCACCCCCTAGCTCCCCCCTGGCGCCGCCCCTGTGTGCACCCCTGTACTACAGCAAAAGTATTCTCCGTCGGGACTTCCTGCAACAACACCACGCCGTTATCAAAGATGTTCTATTGAGAAGACGATCACTACGTGACAAAAGTTTTCAAAACCGTGGCTACTGAAATCAATCTTACTAACTGCTGTCTGTGCAATTTACTCCGCGCGAGTTGGCAGACTTTATTTTGCTTACTTTAACATAATTTGTCATGGTGGGGCTAAGCCATTTCTTGGTATGGGTGTAGCCTACCCCAGCCATACCCTGGCGCTGCCACTGGTGGCACGTATGGGGCGGGCCATTCTGCACATGCGTTAAATGCGTTAAATATTTTAACGCAATTAATTCAAAAAATGAATTACCGCCGTTAACGCGATAATTTTGACAGCACTAATATATAGATATATAGTAATCCCAACAGGCCACCTTGTTTATGGTTTGATTCAGTTTTACATTACATTTATTTGATAACTTCAGTTAACTTTGAAGATTCCGAACACTACAAAATATAATCAAGACATATTTTATCATGTATTATAGTAGAAAGTAGAAATAGTTTGAGTAGATTTTAGTAGAAATATCCCTTACAATAAAGGCAGTATAGTATGCCCGTGTGTCATCTCCAATAAATGGCTTCAACCATCCTTTAAACTCAGGGTTTGATTCCCACTCCTTTCTGTACTTTTGTGAATACAGTTTAGACTGTGACATGATGACCTACGTGGATGTTTAGCTTGTCACAGAGAGGCACACACACAGTGGACGAGGTAATTAAGTGACTGAAGCTGTCTCGATGCGGGAGAGTGTGGCTGTCTCCTCTCTGCTCTGACTGCAGCTGAGCTGCTGCGGGAGGCAACTGTGAGTCTGCGCGCCTGTCAGTACTATGGGAGGGCTGAGGGGCTCACGGCAGCTCGTTAACTGCAGAACAATACGTGAGTCTCCAAACACCA